AGTATTTGTGAGGCAATTTTAAATTAAGCTGAATGAAAATTTCAAAATAAAAGCTGGAATATTTCCCTCAGGCCTGTCAGAAAAACTAACTGCTTCACGCATTTAGAATTAAGTCTCTCCTTGTGTGTCACACTGACATGACAGTTGACCTCCTCTTTAGAACTACAATTCCTGAAGGTTAGAACTACAACATGGCGGAACACTCAGTGCCTACAAAAGAGGTCAGAGCTGATTGTCAGAACTACAACATGGTGGAACTGTCAGTTACTGCTGAGGAGGAATGAGCTGGCCTTTAGAATTACATTGTGTTTGGACTTTTTATCACTGATTGTAAGCAACCACTGTTACAGACAGGATTAGTTTGGCAATTTTAAATTAAGCTTAATAAAAATTTCGAAATAAAACCTTGAATATTTCTCTCATGCCTGTCAGAAAAACTAACTTCTTCAAGCACTTAGAATTAAGCCTCTCCTTGTGTGTCACACTGACATGACAGTTGACCTCCTCTTTAGAACTACAATTCCTGAAGGTTATGACTACAACATGGCAGAACACTCAGTGCCTACAGAAGAGGTCATAGGTGAATATAAAAACTACAACATGATGGAACTGTCAGTTACTACTGAGGAGGACTGAGCTGCTCTTTAGAACTACAATGACTGCAGGTTAGAACTACAACATGGCGGAACACTCAGTGCCTACAAAAGAGGTTAGAGCTGATTGTCAGAACTACAACATGGCAGAACTGTCAGTTACTGCTGAGGAGGAATGAGCTGGCCATGACAAGTACTTGGTTTTTGGGAATTTTAGAACTGATTTCAAAACTCCATAGTTACACATGGGATTAGTGTTACCATTAAAATTAAGCTTAATGTAAATTTCAAAATAAAAGCCTTGACAATTTTTCCATCAAGTAATTGCTCTTTTGACCACTATATAACTGATTTAACCCAATCAGTGTTAAACATGGGATGAGATTGGCCATTTAAAATTAATCTCAATGAAAATTTCAAAATAAAAGCCTTAAGATTCCTTTCTGACTCATGCCTATTTTAGTGAAAATGGCTGCCTCAAACTGATAGAATTATGTCTCCCCTGTCTGACTCACAGCTGGCAGAGGATCCATTACCATGGCAACAGAACACAAAGGGGCCAGCTGATTAGGACTACAAAAACGCATCACTGTAGTTCTAACTATGGCAGAACTCAGAGAAAAAAGCTGGAGTTTAGAACTGCTTGTGTTTTGGGCCTTTTATAACTATTTTAACCAACCATTGTTACACATGGAATTAGTGTGGAAATTTTAAATTAAGCTTTAAAAAAATTTCAAAATAAAAGCCTTGAGAATTTTTTTATTAAATAAGTACTCTTTTGACCATTATATATCTGATTTAACCAAATCACTGTTATACATGGGATTACATTGACCATTTAAAATTGAACATTCTGAACATTTTAAAATAAAAGCCTTAAGATTCGGCCGTAGCTAATGCAGCGCCGCAGGCGCTGCAATGATATTACCTTGCATTATCTTTTCCTCTCAAGTTAGGGCACTGTCTTGCGCAGCAAGACAGTGCATTAGCATTAGCACAAACATTAGCATTTCTCTGTTCCCCACCAGTGCACTGCCATAGGCAGTGCAATAAGATTATCCTGCATGATCTTTTCCACTCAGGTTAGGGCTCTGCCTTGCACAGCAAGGCAGAGCATTAGCATTAGCCTTTTACCTTGCATGAGATATTACCTATTTCCCTTACTTATTACCCATATTTATTATACATGCTTGTGACTCTCCACATTGTATTGATGACATTGCAGTTTCTTTAGCATGGATGCTAATGTTTAGCATCAGAACGCTGGGTCAAAATCGACGGGCACACTTTGGCAGGCCCCGGTTAAATTTCTTCAGGAATTTTCTAGTTATTCTTTATTTTTCTTCCGTTCACCGGAATGCGGCTCGCACCGCTGCGAGCCCACCCACAAAAGTGGTATCAAAACGTGCGGCTTGTTCCCGGCATTGGAGCTATTACTTGTGGTGGGATTCGGAGTTGCGATGAAAAAGTAAAAAGCGAAAACCATCAAAAATTTTCCGTCAGTTAAACTAGAGTGTAACTGACGTTTCGTTAGAGTGTGGGAAGCAGTGCGATTTTGACCCCAAATAAATTTTGAAATCGCCGTCACGCCCACAAATATCGCCCTATCGGTATGAAACTCGGTCATGACATAGATACGCATGCCAGCTCCGGTAAAATGTTTTCAAAATTTTTCTATGGCTTACGGTTTTCTGTCTAGGGGATTCAGAGCAAAGTGATGCGACAGGATTTCGACTCGCTCAGCAAGGTTCACTTCCATGTATTTCTGAAAAATGTCAGACCTCAGCGCACACCATTTTTATCTCGTCGCTGTTATTAATGTGAGTGATGTACAGATATGAATCGCGGGACTATCGGAGACGAAAGATAGCGCTCTCATACGCTTCAAACGGTTTTCCGATACGTATAACAGTTTCCGAATGGGAAGGAGTTGTTCGGACCGCTTTTTTCAGTCAAAACTGACTGGGTGTCTCACAAAGATAGAATTCTTTCTGTCTCACACACATGACAGTTGCAGAGGATTAATTACCATAGCAACGAAGCACAGCAGGGCCAAGCAGCTAATTAGAACTACAAAAACGCATCACTGTAGTTTTTACTGTGGCAGAGCTCTGAGGAAGGAGCTGGCTTTAGAACTACTTGTGTTTTGGGGATTTTATAACTGATTTTAACCAACCTTTGTTACTATGGGATTAGTGTTAATTAAGTTTAATTAATCTTAATGAAATTAAGCTCAATGAAAATTTCAAAATTTGACAATTTTTATATCAATTTGCTGTTTGGAGCATTTTAAACTGACTTAACACAATCACTGTTACTCATGTGAATAGATTGGACATTTAAACGAGGCTTACTGAAAATTTCAAAATAAAAGCCTTAAGATTCCTTTCTGGCTCATGCCTATTTTAGTGAAAATGGCTGCCACAAACTGATAGAATTATGTCTCCCCCTGTCTGACTCACAGCTGGCAGAGGATCCATTACCATAGCAACGGAGCACAGCAGGCGCCAGTGGTTAGGACTACAAATACGCATCACTGTAGTTTTACTATGGTCAGAGCTTTGAGGAAGGTGTTGGCCTTTAGAACTACTTGTTTTGGGCATTTTTATAACTGATTTTATCCAACCATTGTTACACACAGATTAGTGTGGTAATTTTAAATTAAGTGAATTAAAATTTCAAAATAAAAGCCCTGACATTCTTTTATATTATGGAATTGCTCTCTTGGGGATTATGTGACTTTTTTGACAAAACCACTGTTACACTTTGGATTATTTTGGACAGTTAAAATGAAGCGTTACTGACAATTTCAAAATAAAAGCCTTAAGACTCTTATGGCTCATGCCTATTTTAGTGAAAATGTCTGCCTCACACTGATAGAATTATGTCTCCCCCTGACTCACAGCCTGCAGAGGATCCATTACCATAGCAATGGAACACAGCAGGGCCAGCTGATTAGGACTACAAAACCGCATCACTGTACTTCTAACTATTGCAGAACTCGGAGGAAAAGGCTGGACTTTAGAACTGCTTGTGTTTTGGGCCTTCTATAACTCTTTTTAACCAACCATTGTACAACATGGAATTAGTGTGAAAATTTTAAATTAAGCTTTAAAAATTTTTCAAAATAAAAGCCTTGACAATTTTCCCATCAATTAATTTCTCTTTTGACCATTTTATGTCTGATTTTACCAAAAAAATAGTTACACAT